GGTCAGTCATCAGAAAGACCTACAGTCATACAAAGAGCTTTAGAGGGTTTTGTGGAATAGCTCACTCAAGTTAGGAAAGTGTTGAAGCTCATAAAATGATACCCCAAAGACTGATATTTTGACATGAAAAGTTGGAGAAACAACTTCAGAATCAGTTTCTCTCTAACCCTTGTCCCACCAAAAAGAGGATAATCTTTTTATCCTCTTTCTTTCCCAAAGTGCAAAGACTTTACACGCATATTCCCTTATAGACCTGTAGGCTGGACTATGCCAAAGAAGAAAACAGTTATATTTGGTCTTCTCCTAGGTTTCATTAACTAAGTTCATGTGGCAGGAAGGAAGATCAAGGAATGTCGACACAGGTGGACAGAGTTTGTCCTGAGCTATTGTCAGTCTCCCAGGCTCATTCAGTTCCCAAGGAGAATCATTTACTAACCATTGTCTGAGCATTGGTCACATTCTTTCCCCCTAAAAGTCATCCACTCTAAAATTGCTTCTCCCTTCCTATTTCCTGTCTATGAGAGGGTATTTAAGTTACAATCAGAAGGCTCCTCATTGAGCTCCTAATTTTGTATGGCTCCTGTATACAAATGTACACATTAAAATAAGCTTCTCATCAGTGATTTTCAGCAGAATCATTGAGAGGGGGAGGAAGATTTCCTTCACCCTTACAAAGGCGACTAGAAAATTATTCCAGATCCAGATTTTCAGTGACACCCACATTCCTTGGACACTACTAAGTAAACATTGACAAATTCAGATGAAAAGAATTCTTATTCTTGGCTCTGGGTGGAGCCTATGTACACAATGGCCATGATAATTTAATTACACTTCTCTTGTACTGACTGCATCTTAGATTAATGTCTTTGATAGGATTTGACAGAGCCTACTTCCTTTAGTAACACATATACCTCTCTCTCTCTCTTTCTCTTTTTAAATTTTGCCAGAGTCAGGGTGGCATATGGACTGTCTGGCGAGAGACTAAGGGATGGAAGGAAAGTGCTCCCACTTGAACCCCACCTTCTCCACCACCTCACTCCCATAGGGACACAGCAATCACTTCTCCTCCATTTCTTCCTCCTTTTGGGATTTTGGGTATCCATGCACACATACCTGGTGTGTATCTCAAGCCTCCAAGTCTAAGACTCAAATCACAAATCAACCATGCAGGATCCAGATGCATTAACCACCATACCACAGGCCAGCTCACAATTCACCTCTTAAAATGGGCAACTCCTGCAATTGATTGCTGTACAAAATAGGTTGCTTTGATTAGATTAACACTGACATTTTATAGTTTATATTTTAATAGGTAATATATTCGTATAGTCAAAATAGCAAAGGCACAACAAAACATATAGTAAAAGCTCCCTCCCATTCCTATCTCTCAATTACCCATGTCCCCTCCTTAGAGATAACAGATATTAGCAGTTCCCTAAGTATAAGTCCAGAGAAATATGTGCATGTGTGCATGCACACGCACTTACCTTTACCCTATACATTATAATACCTTACATACTTTTCTTCACCTTGCTTTTTTCATCAATAATTCATGAGGGCAACTTATGTCAAAATACAAAGAGGGACCACCAGCAGATGGTGCAGGGGTTAAGGTCACTGGACTCCAACATGGTTGACCTTGGTTCAAGTCCCAGACCTGGTGACTTGCTTTTTCACTCCCTCCCTCCCTCTTTCACTGGATCTGTCCCTCTCTGGTCAAATCTTAAATAAATAAATAAATAAATAAAGTTAAATAAAATAAAAAAAAATATATATATATAAAGAGCTTTCTCATTTTTTTAAAACAGTTGTATGGTATTCCATTGAATTAAAGTACCTTTTTTTTTTTTAGCTATCTTCCAATTAAAGCAAAGTTTGCTTCAAAACTTTCGCCATTATAAACAGAAGTCTATATACCTAAGTTGTTTTGTATTATGAGCAAATATATTTCTAGCATAAATTCCTAGTAATAAAATTGCTAGGTAAGAGATATGTGCATTTTTAAATTTTAATAAATGCTAATATATTGACAACTCATTTCAGAGTTGTATTGGGTTGTGGGAAAAGTCATAATGTATTTTACTATGTTTTTCTATGCAAAAATGCATCATGATTTTTTTGACTACCCAATACAAGAGTCTAAGTATTAATAAATTTAATAGAGAGGCACAAATAGTAGATTGTGCCTTTCTGACTATGAAAAAGGGTATGTCAGAGGAGTTTTAAACTACATTTTCTTTTCTTTTTTTAAATAATTATTTTATTTAGGGCCAGCAGGTGACATGGTGGTTAAGGGCACTGGACTTCCACATGGCCAACCACAGTTCAATTTCCCAGGCCTGGTGGTTTGCTTTCTTTCTCTCTCTCTCTCACTCTGTCCCTCTCTGGACAAATAAAAATCAATTAATTAATTAATTAAGTTAGATAAAATTATTATTTTTATTTATTTATTTTAATTTGACCAGAGAAGGAGGGGGAGAGGGAGAGAGAGAGAGGGAGCAAGCAAGCAAGAAAGCAAGCTGCCAGGTCCAGGACTCGAACTGTGGCCAGCCATGTGGGAGTCCAGCACCCTTAACCACCATACCACCTGCTGCCCTCTTAAACTACATTTTCATACTGAGTGAAGTTGAGCATCATTTAATGTTTGATTACTTTTCTGTATATCATTTTTTTGTTGAGCTTATCTGTAAGAGTACTTTCTCTTGGATCATCGGAAAACTCATGACATATTTTTGTTTTTCTATGCAAAAAAAATGTGTTATGACTTTTCTGATGACCCAACATATTAGGAAAATAAGTCTTTTTCTAGCTAAAAGTTCTAAATGTTTTAAACTAAACTGGCAAATGTCTTTCAACTCTCATTATAATTAGTTTTTTCCTTGAAAACACTGATCTGACACCAGAGTGCAAGAGTTTGAGTCCTGGCTTTCCGCTTGCCTGCTATGTGACCTTGTACAAGTTTCTTAACCTCTCTGTCATTTAATTCATCAATAAAGTGGTGATATTAATAGTACCTATTTCACAGGGTTGTTGTTATTAAAAGAATGACTATATAGAAAGGGCTTAGGAAATGAGCACATGGAAAGAACTAGAAAAGTATTGTTTCTTTTTTTTAATGTAGTCAAATTTAATGCTGATTCATTCTAAACCCCTTTTCAAAGAAAAACTGTCATTTGCCTTGGCATCAAACTCTACAGGGATTAAAAGGGGGGAAAAATGACTTACTTCTATTGAAGGTAATACCACCACCTCTATACCAAGTCCTGTTAATAAAATAGGGTGCTTAATCCATAGGAACTGTAGACTAATTGCTAGGTGAGGGGTTTTATCATCTCAGCATTTCCTCCTCACAACAGTCTTCGAGTAGGTATCTTATTCTCATGTTTCCCTAAGAAAGCCAAGGTTGAAATGCCAGTGTGACTTGCTCAAGGCCAAGTTTCCTTTGTACATTGATTTGCAAATGTTCTTTCATCTTTTTCTCTAGGAGTCTGTTACAGGTCTCCAAGGCCTGTAATATCCATTGCCTACACCACTGGTCCCCCAGTGGCGAGTCAATAAAGCTGGCTGTTTGCGATTCATTCTCTCAGCAAGCCCTAAACCAACTCCTTCCAAATTCCTCCTCCCACCTCTTCAAGTGGTGTACTGAATATTCCCAGAGCTCAAGTTTAGCAGATTCCCCCTCTTAAATGGGCCCTCCTCAGTCTGGATGCCACCATCTGGCTCGCCAGCCACTGACGAGTGATTTGCCGCTGTTGTGATCTCCAACAGGCCCCCCAGCTAGCTTTCATGTTTCCTCTCCAAGCTCCTATGCAGGGCTGTGCAGGTGACCTCCACAAATCCAGTTCCATGGAGCCCACCTGCACCCGCAAACTGTCAAGTTCCATTTCCAAGAATCCCATCATCCACCGAAGGCTACTCCTTGACAAACTTCCAGCCATGTTTGTTCAGCTTAGAATTTCTCTTCACCCTCTCTTGAAGGCCAATCTTCATGAAGATGTTCCTTATCCTGACTGTACTCACTTTGCTCATTCCCTCATCACCAGGCTACACTCCACACCCTGCACTTTTTCTAAATTGCTGGAGAGCCAAAATTGTTCCTTCCTCCTTATTGACTGGAACGCCCTCATACAGAGATGCAATGGATGAGCCATATAACCTAATAGTTTCCACTGGGTCCAGTCACTCACAAGGGCTTGAGGTTAACAGGGACCAAGGCATGTTAGGCCTGCTGGTGGCCCTCGCGTAGCCTGCCCCATTTGAACCCAGTTCTCTTCACAAAACTGATGCTTTTGGCCAAGTGTTAATCATGGTTACATTTTCCTTTCAGAAGATCTCATGGCTATCAGCTGATACATGGAACAGGCACGACACACAGATCATTCTAGAAACGTTGGTTGTAGTATAAATTTCGAGCTACAGAGGGACATCAGAACGCGAGGTCAACTTCCATGTCTCGACAGAAGCAATGGAGGCACAGAGAACGGAAGACTTGCCCTAGGTCACCCAGCAAGTAGGAAACAGAACACGACCCAGAACTGAGGCCTCCTGATTCCCAGTTCAGGGCATGCTCCTCTGCACCTTGAAGCCAGTAGGCCCGAGGGTCAGAGGCCTCAGGCGTCTGGGGTCACTGCTGAAGTACTGACCTATTCACCACCTGTTACTTTCTGTCTCTCTCATTTCAGAAACTTCTAAGTCTTATCCACAACATCATCCTTCCTCCTCCCCGAGATCTCATGGTTAGCTTGGGGGCCAAGCGGCGAGATCAGTCACAAGAAAAGCGACGCACCGCTTCACAAGAAGCCGCCTCCTCAGAACGCCACAGAGCCAACGCGGCCCCGCCCCCGTCCCCTAGAGCGCCGGCCAGGACACGCCAGGCATGGGCGGAGCCACAGCCCTGCGCCCCGCCCTCTCCACAAGACCACCCCTATTGACGTCGACAGACGGAAGCCGCGTCCAATAGGAAGGCAGGGGCTGGCGCCAAAGTCCTATCGGCTGCGACAACACAAACACGAACGCGCCTAACTGGCTGACGCTACACTGTGGCCTTTCCGGGTCTTTCCACGCCTCGACCCTACTCCTGTGGAGCTGGGCCGGAGGGAGAGCCAGGTACGATCCTCACCAGGTGAGTCTGTGCTGGCCGGTGTGCCTGTCGGCGCCGTCTGAGGGCTGCCACAGCTCCCTGCCTAATGTGGGTGGGATACGTGTGTCGGAGGAAAAACCAGAAAAGGGGCGTGGAGGGGCATGCACGTGGATCGCCGGCCTGTCCGCGGCGTGGGTCGACCTGCGCGGAAGGCGTGTGCGTTGGCACGTGTCCGGTTCCGAGTCTTGTAGACTCGGATTCGCAGTCATAAACATTGGGGCGGGGTGACTCCGAATGTCACCGCGCAGTACTTTGCTGGAAGGATATTTTTTCTTTTCCAATTATTTTATAAGCTAGAGAGACAGTGGGGCCAGCAGTCTGTTTTCCTTAAACCCTGATGCTGAGACCCCTGGCGGTAACTGGACTGTGGGCCCTTGGGGGCCGGTTCCCCGCTTCGTTCAGGTTGTGATTGGCCTTTTCAGTCGTGTCGGCCGAACAGCTAACGCGCGTCCCGAGCTTGCTAAGGGCAGGCACTGTGATGACCGCTTTTCAAGCGATAACTGGGTTTTCTGAAGCTGTAGTGGCCCCCCGCAGGAAGGGACGTAGAGTGTACGCGCCTTGCCGAAGTATGTATCGCACGGACTCGTCATTGGTGGAGTCTGCGTTGACCCGACCTTCCGCGCCCCCCTACACCGCGCTGTGTTAGCCAGAAATCCAGAAAGCCAGCCTTTCTCTCGCTGGACCTTCGGGGTCTCCCTGACTTCGACAACCACGCCCGCCCATCGCGGTGGTGGTCCGCAGACAATACAGCAAGAAAGAACTTCTGGAGGAAACAATCCCAAAGCCCCCAACTCGTTTTAAATAACAATGGGAATTATAATTGAGGTAGTGGTTTTTGGGTAACCAAGCCCTGGGTTCGACCAATAGCGTGGAATCCCTGTTCCATCACTGATTGTGTCTTTGTGGGTAGGGATGTGAACCCTCCAAGCCAGTTCTAAAATGGGGTTAAAAAGACCAACTTGAAGGCCATTGGTTAAGGCGGCTGGATCCGCATGGCCGCCTGCGTGGTTCAGCGGCTTTCCCAAAATCCGGAGAGGAGACTGGAGAAGAGATTGAGGCCCAGCGATTCTTGATTCTCGCTTTTACCTTCCCTCTACTCCCGCCCCAGGTACTTTCTCAGTTTTCATCCCTTTCTCCGGCCCAGGTGTGCACCCTATATCAAATTTAAGAATAAAAAAATATATATAAATAAATAAATAAAACTCAAGAGTGGGCATTAGTTCTAAATCTGCTTTTGGAAATATTTCTTGAATTATGTATTAACAGAAAACTTTTTTTTTTTTTTGAGAGAGGTTTTTGTTATAGGGCGCATGCGCTCGCCAGAGACAGAGAGATAGAAAGCGAGAAATCACTCCCCAGGGGGGATGGCCACGCTGCAATCCCTTTCTCCTCCATTCTCCTCTCGGGATTCTTTTTTTTTTTTTTTTTTTTTGAAGTTGACCAGAGAGACAGAAAAGTGAGAAAGCAAACTGCCAGGTTCAGGACTTGAACCATGGGGAGCCGTGTGGGAGTCTAACACCTTAACCACGAAGCTACCTGTTAGCCCTTCTCATTTCAAATGTTAAAGTAGTCTGTAGGAAACTTCTTTGTTTTTTGGATTTTTTTAGGTTTTTGCAATAGGTTACATGAGAGAGACAGAAAGTGAGAAGTCACAACCCCCACACCTCATCCCCAGGGAATGACCACTCTGCAATCCTTTCTCTATTCTATCTGGATTTTGGGCATCCCCACAGAAGTTCCTGGCAGGATTCTCAGGCTGCTGAGTCTGAGTCTTAAAACCATGGTTGACCAAGTGGGAATCCATCACCCTAACCACCATGCTCCTATTGGCTCCCTTCTTGAGATATAATTGACATACCATAAAATTCACCCTTTAAGGGGCTGGTAGGTAGTGTGGTTGTTAGGAGCACTGGGCGCCCACATGGCTAACCGTGGTGTGAGTACTGGACCTGGTGGCTTATTCTCTCACTTTCTCTCTCTCTCTCCCCCCTCTGGTCAATTTTTTAAAAAATAAATGAATAAATAAAGTTAAATAAAATAATTCTTTAAAAAATTCACCTTTTTAAAAATTTATGATTCAGGGAACCAGCAGTTAGCGTAATGGCTATGTCGCTAGACTCCCACGTAGTCGACCGCGGTTCGCGTCCCAGACCCGGTGGCTTAAAACTCACGCCGGGCACTTGTTCGTGCATGCCCAAGATCCCGAGAGGAGAATGGAGGAGAAGGGATTGTGGCGTGACCATCCCTGCGGGGGCGGGGCAGGGGGTGATTTCTCGCTTTCTGTCTCTATGTCTCTCTGTCTGGCAAACGCACGCGCCCTATAGCGGAAAACCTCTCAAAAAAAATATACATACGATTCAATAGAGCTTTTATTTTATTTTATTTTATTTTTCAGTTTTGCAAAAGATTGTATTTGATACTTGGAAGGATGGAGAAAGGGAGTGAGAGAGAAAACACCCCACACCCCTCATGTCCTTTCTCCTCCATTTCTCCCTTCATTAGGGATTTGGGGTGCGTACACACACACACACACACAC